AGTTTTATATAACAAAGCTAAGCTGTTTGTATTACAAAATGGCATTTTTTCCAATTTCTTTTTAATTGGACGAGGTTGCCGCCAAGGAGATCCTGTATCCCCTTATCTATTTAATCTCTGTGTTGAAATTATGGGAATTGTGATTAGAAAAAACAAAATATTAAAGGAATAAATATAGGAAAGGAAAAAGTTTGTTTACTCCAATATGCAGATAATACAGTGTTGTTCTTAGATGGCTCAGAAAAAAAGTCTAAAAAGTGCACTTGACTTACTTTTTCAATTCTCTAAATTTTCTGGTTTAAAGCCTAATATTAGTAAAACTAAAGCTACTTGGATTGGCTCAAAACTTGGTTCAAATGAAACACTGTGTGATTGTACAGATCTGAACTGGACTAATCAACCATTTACAATATTGGATATTACATACACTGCAAATCTTAAGGAAATGGAACAGCTGAATTTTGATAGCAAATTAGTTGGCATTCAAAAAGAAATAACACAGTGGTCTAAAAGACAAATTTCCCCATTGGACAAAATAAAAGTAGTTAAAAGTATTTTACTATCCAAACTTACTCATCTGTTTAGTGTTTTGCCTATGCCAAGTGCACAGTGGATTAAAAATATAGAAAAATTACTGTTTAAATTTATTTGGGGCAATAAACCTGATAAAATAAGCCGAAAAACATTACAGTCAGATTTTAAAAAGGGTGGATGCAGAATGACTAATGTTGAAGTATATTCATAAAATCTCTTAAACTTACTTGATTTAGGAGATTATTTTCTACCAAGTCCACGCAGTGGACAGTGTTCTTTACAGAAATTACAGGCTGTAGTGTCACACAGATGTGTCAATTTGGATCAGATTACATTAAACAAAAATCTAAGTTAATTTTGAATCCTTTCTGGAAAGAAACACTTTCATATTTTGTAGATTTCATAAGTATTTCTACATCTATAATGCAGGACAACACACTTGTAGTGCATGTGACCCCCCCCCTCTTTTTTTAAATGATGTAATAATAGTAATGTTAGGTTACATGGTGTAACTTTTTATTTTATCCACAACAGTGTTTAATCATTCTGAGTCAATGACTGTAATATTTTACTATATATGTGTGAGCTTGGAGCGGGTTGATTTTTCTATCAAATAGGGTCAATGATTGTAATATGTTATCATGCATTGTGGTGATTTGGAGCGGGTTGATGAAGTTTGTTTATTCACAGTTTTATTTTGTTTTATATGAATGTTCTATTCGCAGAGTTGTACCTAAGTCACTTAATTGTAAATGTATATACTTGTGAAACAAGAGTAGATTGATATATTTTTATAACATAAACATGACTGAGATAATTCGAATTGGGTTAGAGTTTGGTAAAAGATTAATAAAGTATGTCATTTGTAAATCAGCACTTAAGCATACATCCTAAGACTATAACTGTGTGTAACAGTATGTGATTGTTGTTTGTTTAGTGCTATTTAGTTGATATGATACCTGTAAAATAGTCTAAACTTCTGTTGTCACATAAAATTTGACAGTTTCGCTCTTCATTACGATGTACTTCCGGTTTAGAAACTTGTTAAAGTAATTGATAAATTTATCCTTGCATTTGTAATATAACCGATAAATTTATCGAGTTTGAATGGCGGTATCTTATGAATGACTGTATTTTTAGATAAACTGAATATTGTTTTAAGTTTAATTTGTTTTGTTTTAATTATTTATTGTGAAATATATTTTTATTTAATTGATAAATATGTAAAAATTCATTATTTCATACTTGTATAGAACATTTGGTGACACTTGTTCACGTGAAAGATCGTGACGTTTTACTATTGACCAATCTGATTGTTCGATATAATTGATCATTAATTGATAATCCAATGAAATTTCATAATTAATAATTCTGTTAATATGTCATTTTCCAGCATTTTCCGTTATTTTCTGTCATAAAGTCATATAAAAGTTAGACGCTGAGAATTTTTAGTCACTCTTCTGCTTATTTTGATTTGGTAGGTCCGTTTTACGGAACTCTCAGATTTTTTTTTTTAGGATTTTATTTTAATTTTTATTTTGTCTATCTTTTATTTTATTTATTTATTTTTATTTAGGAATTTATTTTTAATTTATTTATTAAGGATAGGGTTTTACCGTGTAGGACATTAAATAGTGAAATACTATTGTCCGCTATCGGTTGTTTTAAAGACTCAACAGTCTATGACTGAGTAGTCTTCCTCAGTGATTAATTTATCTAGGATTATTTTATTTTACATTTTTTTACTCTATTTTATTTCATTTTCATTTTAATGCAAACTATGTAACTAAAGTTATACGTTTGCTATCTTTCTCTTTTATGATGACTAAAGTTGATTAGTTCAACGAAAGTCAATTATTTATTTTATTTTCAGACAGTAATTTAATTATTCTAGATACGTAAATTTTTCTTCAATTATTTTTAATAGAAATTATTTTATTAGAGTACTTGGGAATTTTTAAACGTTGCTTCTCGATAAACTTACTTATGATTATTAGAGTTGTCTTTCTTTGCCCTTAGTGTTTACAAGCTAACCTGTTAAATACAGTAATGCTTGTTGTTAGGTTTAACAAGTCAAAGTTATAAATAACCACGGCTTGTGTCCTTGTTTGATAAAGTATTTTAGGAGTTTAACAAGCTAACCTGTTAAATACAGTAAAGCTTGGTGTTAAGTTTTACAAGTCAAAGTTATAAATAACTACGACTTGTTGTCAGATATTTTATAGGCATAGGAATAGATACGTTAGATTTTTGGGGTGGTTTTTCAGTCTGTTTTATGGTATGATTTTAATTATTTATTTTTATTAAACTTATTTATTATTATTAGTTTGGTATGAATGTGGTGTGAATGTCGTCGTTTAAATAAATTGTTTGTTGATAATGCACTTAATAAATTTAATTGTTTAATGTTTATAATCTTATGTCTTCTTTGCGAATGGTACATTTATAAAAGGAGTTGAGCGAATTATTAATTCTATGAAAACAATTTCTAGCAGAACCGCTAGCGTTACAACACTGTTAGAGCCTTTATGATACAACGAAAAAATTAAGATACAAAAACAGAGTGTTTTTATAAATCTTTATATAAAAAAGGATTCCATATAGTTTCTGACTTGCTTATTAGTCAGGGCACTTTTATTACTTATGAAAGAATAACAAATTATTTTAATGTAAAAATGCCCTTTACTGTATATGAAGGTCTTAAGCATGCTATTCTATGTGCAATGCTAGAAGCAAGACATCTGGATCCTTCTTAACTTGTGTAAGGATAAAAAGGGATCTAGAAGAAATATATGATTTGTTTATGTCTCAAGGACAACATTAACCTTTATGTGAAAAGAAATGGACTACGGGTAATGATTTATCACTACAAGATGATTTTAATTGGAAACAAAAGCATATTAATCTAAAAAAAATCTAACAAAAGATACAACATTGTTTTGGTTTCAATACAGAATTTTACATAGAATACTTGGTGTGAATAAATATTTGTATTTTTCAAAAATTATTGATAATCAACAATGTGCACTGTGCTCACAGGAACCTGAGACACTTAGACATTTATTTTTTGAATGTGAAGTAGTTAAGATAATCTGGTCATCTTTAGAAGATTGGATTCGACAAAAATCCAGTAGAATAGTAGAGTTTAATATACGAAATGTAATACTTTGTACTGTAGACACTGATGTGGGTTTGAATATGATTATTGTATTAGTAAAGAAATATATTTTTCAAACATCATGAAAAAAAAGTACCATTATATTTAATGAATTATTATTGTACCTCAATAATTAATCTTATTATAGAGAAAAAATTATATAGTGAGGAATTATTTGAAAAAAGATGGTCAAATTGGAAATGTCTTTTCAAGTATGATTTAGCATAGGAGTTTTATTTACTAATGCTATAAAATTATTGTAAACTTATGTAATACTGATATTTGTTTCATCCCTCTTCCATGTGTATTTGTCTGTATGTGAGTGTGTGTCCGTATGTGTGTGTGTGCCTGTATGTGTATTTAAGTGTTTGCTTCTGAATATGAATGTAACTTGTTTGTTTCTGTAAATAAAAAAAGAAAGATATTCTCATCAAAATTCATACACTAATACAAATTTTCATGTTGTATTACTTATTTACCCTTGGCCGAGCTTTCATGTCCTATGGACATATATTTCTAGTTTTATTATTTTCTTTTGTAAAAGGATAGTCTCTTTAATCTACTATAAAAAGAAAGAAATATTTCACCTCATTCTATCTCCTCTATTTCAAACCTTTAGGATTGACACAAACAATGCTATATAGCTCTATATTAAACAGACGAAACTTTTAGCCCTCTAGACTCATGGGGGCACTTGAAGAGACAATGTTTTAAAATGATGTAATAGACTGGAAGATGTGACTAACTAAAGCAACTATAGATTTGTTTTTTGCATGTAAATTTATGTCTGAAACTGCCTGAAGTCAATAGTGGCTATCTTTAATGGAGAACAGAAAAACGATTGAACAGATAGGTAGAAACAAAGAAAAACTGGCGACCAACACTGTAAGGTTCAAAATGTGGATACCAAACCGTATTCAATAGGGTCTGTACCTAAAGTTGAAAACTTATAAGATAATATAAAACTGATCACCAACACTTCGTGAGAATGCACCAGTGGATTTAATTTTATGTCTATAGTATATTATCATCCTTTCAAAAATGATGACTTTCAGTTTCACACCTGACTGACACACAACTGCGCTCCCCCAAAAGATTGCACCGTCAACACATTAGCAATTTCTTCACTTGAAAAATGATACCACAGTCGTGATAGAGGTGATAGGGTTAGGATAGTGACTGTGTTAGACAATACATAAACACATATGTTGGTCACTAGTTAGTTTTGTTGCAGATGTCCTTCAAATAAACATGGAATGCTCAACAATAAAATCTTTAATAAAATTTTAAGAGCTTTCAATTAACTTGCCTTAGTCCAAAGTTCATGTGCAAAGTTAACCACATTAACGTCAATATCTACAGTGCCAGTTTCTCTCAGTTTGTTCACAAAATCGTCAGGGTCTGCTGCCTTCTTTGCCAAACCCAAGAGGAATTGAGATATAAATTTGTCAGATATACCAAGAATATCGTGAAGTTTATCATTCACCCATGTTTCGATCAGAGAAGCCATTTTCTTTGCATTAAACTTTAAAGTGTGCAAAAGGTAATTCGTGTAATCTTAGAGATGGGCGCCGCCATATTAAATGAGAACGCTAATAACCGAAAAGTCCATAACTTTAAGGAAATTCTCGTAAGGGAAGAGGGAATCCCTACAAATATGTATTAGTCGATCAAATGGAACATCAAGTAAGGGATAAAAATCAATTCTGCGCGATCAGAGCTATTTTTCCCTTATCATAGTCAAACGTTCAACAAACATAAAGGACATCACAATCAAAGTACTGAAAGGACTAACGGGAGTTCGAACAAGGATGATGTGGCATACGGGCGGGGTATGGACCCCCCCCCCCCCTTTTCCATTTTTTTTTTATTTTTAAATCTGGGATCTAGTCACCTTTTTCCTATTTTTGTATTCTAATATGCACTATACGTTATCGATAATGTAACCCTTTTGTCTCTATAAACTGTTTTTAAATATATCGTTTTCGACTGATACATAGAAAGAGAGAAGGCTTGCAACTCTTTTTCGTCGTCTGCCTCACCTCGCTTAAACTTCGCGTGATTATTTATCAAAAGCATAAGAAAACATGGCATATGCATACATCAATAAATTTGTTATACATTCTTCTTCCTTTTCATATTTCCATTTAATTTTTATGTGCCCCCGATTTGTAAATATTTCGATTAAATCATCCGCATCTAGGGTAAATTTTGTTGGTGTGCACCAGCTGGGACGGAAGTGCCCGGTATTTTCGGGCATCATCATTATGTGTAATGCCATTCGGAACATTAAATGCGAGACGGAAAACATTCCGAATTTTCTCTTCAAAATTAACGGTAAGTTCTGTGTATATAACAAGTTATAACTGTAACTAGCAGTTTCTGATGGATGAAGGTTAACATTTAACATACGACCTAAACAACCAAATTTCACAAAATTTTTATTACAAGGCCGGAATTTTTTTTAATACAGAACAATTGTAAAGTTGGAGTTACCGTTATTGCACTTCCGTCCCAGCTGGTGCACACCAACAAAATTTACCCTAGATGCGGATGATTTAATCGAAATATTTACAAATCGGGGACACATAAAAATTAAATGGAAATATGAAAAGGAAGAAGAATGTATAACAAATTTATTGATGTATGCATATGCCATGTTTTCTTATGCTTTTGATAAATGATCGCGCGAAGTTTAAGCGAGGTGAGGCAGACGACGGAAAAAGAGTTGCAAGCCTTCTCTCTTTTTATGTATCAGTCGAAAACGATATATTTAAAAACAGCTTATAGAGACAAAAGGATTACATTATCGATAACGTATAGAGCATATTAGAATACAAAAATAGGAAAAAGGTGACTGGATCCCAGATTTAAAAAGAAAAAAAATGGAAAGGGGGGGGGGAGAGGTCCATACCCCAAGTGCCTGTGATACGGGCATGATACTACGATGACCGACAGCGGCCTCCACTTTCTGATTAAGAATATTGTCATTTTGTTCAGCGATTTTGTCAATTTTCGTTGACATATTACAACTAAACTGGTAATGCTATATGTACATGTACACTTTTTACACTAACAATTTACACCAGCGAAAAACATTAAAATTCTTTCGTGTATTATGAAATTAAGATACATAAAACAGGTGGCTTGAAAGAGATAAGGAGCATTTTAATGATTTTCACCCTCAATTAGTCTGAGATATCGTAACGGTAAACCCAATTAATCCTAGATTAGACGTAAATCGTCATTCTGTCACCTTGTTGTATCATTAAAAAGATATTCTTGGGATTGTAATTAAAAAGGCGGATAAAAGTAATGCGTTTGTTGTAATGGATATACATGAATATAATGGATATATCTCGATCCTCAAAGTGTATGAGACAACTCGATTCTACCTATTATGTAGAGGTAGAAAAACAGGATTTAGTAGCTCTACATGTGAGCATCCAATCAAAAGTTTATGGAATGTATCAAAAACAACTTTAGATACGGAAATATACCCGTTTTTAAGCAAGAATAAATTGACACTTTAAATGTGGGAGTCTGTATTTGCTCTCTTAATACAAAATTAATAACTAAATGCTTGAAACACTTTTAAAGGCCAACGCAACCTCTCAAGACTTCCACCTGGTCGGCCAATTATTTTTCAATGTGGCACGGGAATGAAAATATAGGTACATGTAACTAATGTGATCATTTCCTCGTGCGCATTGTTTAAAAAACAACATTCAGACATCAAAGACACGTCCGATTATGAACAAAATCAAATTTCTGATAGACCTGGAAAATTTCATCCTGGTTACCTATGATGTGACCAGCAGGTACACCAACCTGGAATTTTATGAATTAATTACTACAATCTGTCGAGAAAGCATATCTAGAAGACAATACTAATCTGTAATCACCCCGACCTTGCAGTTCTGCTAGAACCTTCAAGTAACCTGTTTTATATATCTTCATTTCATATCACAAGAAAGAATTTAAAAGATTTTCTCCAGTGTAAATTGTCAGAGTAAAAACTGTATATGGACATATAGCATTACCAGTTTAGTTGTAATTTGTCAACGAAAATTGACAAAAAAACTGTACAAAATGACAATATTCAGAATCAAAAGTGGCGGCCGCTGTCGGCCATCGTATGATACGGCCCCTCGGTATATTGACAAAAAAATAAATATCCGAATTTTACACCTATTTTGCATATACATGTACTTGATCTTTGACATATGAACCTTTTCGGAACACCACTTTTACCGAAACTAAGAAGCTCATATGTAATATGATATCTTTCTTAATTTCAGGTAGACACTTTTTACATCCAAATCCCATTCATTTTTAACCCCGCCTCACTTTATAAAGCTCTTAAAATATATGAGCTGCAATTAGGTACATTTTTCTCTCTCGGATGGTCACTGTATTTTATTAAATTCTATATGTGAAAGGAGAAAATTGAACCTCAATACGTTCATTTCTTGTGATTAAAAACATTCGCAAATCCAAATGGCCTTTCCCATTATAAACGATTATTGTTAACCTGGCGTGAACTGTTCTTTTTTTTTTAGTCCCCTACCGGTGAAACCGGAGGGGACTATAGGTTTCCTCTGAGTCTGTCCGTCCGTCCGTCTGTCTGTCTGTCTGTCAGTCTGTCCCACTTGGTTTTCCGCACTTTTTTCCTAAACGCTTGCAGATATTGAGCTGATTTTTGGTATGTGAGTGTATCTTGATGAGTTACAGATCAAGTTTGCATTTCGTTCCGCTTCATTGATTTTTGACGGAATTACGGCCTATTCAATTTTTAAGGGTTTTCCGCAATTTTCTTTTTAACGCTTTCAGATATTGAGCTGATTTTTGGTATGTGGCTTTACCTTGATTAGTTATAGATCAAGTTTGCATTTCGTCCAGCCTCATTAATGTTTGACGGAATTATGGCATTTTCAATTCTTAACGGGAACCAGATTACACTTGCCGGTAGGGGACTAGTATTGCTAATGCAATACTCTCAGAATGCTTGTTTAATTCGCTATCCGCCTTCTGGTGTATTGTCGCAAACTCATGTGACCTTTCATAATCTTACTCACCTGTCCTGATGAATACACTTAACTTTTATTGTACGCGTGTCACATGATTTACATTCTTCTCACTTGCTCCTGTACATGTGGCTACTTGTTAGCTCATATCATAGCAATTTAGGCTATGTTTATATGAGTAGATAATATATTTATAGCTTTGTGAATTGTTGTGGTTTAGTATGAACTTCTTAATAGCCAAATTAAGATGGACAGTTGAATCTGCAAATAGTAGATTAAAAAGATGGAAATTCTATGCAAATATAATTTCAAATACAGGTAACTCTTGATGGCTCGAACTTCGATCTCTCGAAGTTCTTGATCGCTCGAAGTGAGTCTCCGGTCCCGAATTTTTCCCCTATATAACTAAGCAAATTTACTCTTGATTTCTCGAACTCTTGATCTCTCGAAACCCTTGATCCCTCGAAGTCAAAATGCAGTCCCGCTATGCATATTCTATTAGAATTTACCCTCGATACCTCGAAGTGGCTATGTCTATACAAGGTTACATAATTAGGACCTTTACCTGGACATTTAAATGGCCCAAGGCAGAAGAAGCGGGTCCCGAGGAACGGGATATTTATTCAGGTGACACTTATGCTGCAAGGTGATAATTGACTTATAATTAATCCTATTTTGCCTATATGTTATTAAAACAATTATCATCGACTGTCTTACGATAATTTAGAGACGCAGTGTCAGTGAAAAGTAGTAATTGATTAAAAGACGAAACACTAATTTAATTTTTATTTCGAGTCAGTGTCAAAGGTAAACGAAATATGAAAAAGCAGAAACAGCCTCAATGTCAATATGACGACTATTATTGGACAAATACTTACAGAACTGCATTCAATGATTATGTTTGGAATAGTCAATGCTATGTACGACGCTGTAAAATGTCGTTTTCATGTAACGAATGCGTAGTATGATGTCCGTATTACAAAGAATAAATATATATACATGAAATGACGATACACATTTTTTGCTTTACTCAGTTTAATGAAATATTCATCTAAATTACGAAAAAATATCGTTGTTTTATAAAAACCACGTGTAAAAGGTTAGCACTGCATGAAAATCATTACATCCGGTAAGACTAATTTTAAAGCCTGTCAACAAACCCGGAAAATTCCGGACTCTTGAAAACTCGAACTCTTGATCTCTCGAAGTTTTTCCTCAGTCCCGCGGACTTCGAGGTATCGAGAGTTACCTGTACACGAATTATGTTTATTGGAGAATATGTACATATTGTGGGGTCATTGAGATTGAGTAATCATAATCTTTAAAATTTTCAAATACAATTGATCAGAATTTCTTCAAATTGTTATCACACAAAAACGATCTTTTTCTACGTTATATATATCACTTGTAATCGCTCAGTGGCAAGTTTTGTTTTTCTTTCAATGATATAGGGTAGTTCTTAAAAGTTTTTGTACATATATATATATATATATATATATATATATATATATATATATATATATATATATATATATATATATATATATATATATATATATATGAAATATGTACATCAGAACACAGATGTTTATACACATAACTAAAACTAACATATCAGGAGAATGGGATTGTCTTGAAGGAATAATATCGCTAGTTTTTAGTCACTACTGATATCGAAAATAATTTAACTAATACAAGTGGTTTAAGATGAAGTAATCGTAAATAAAATGATTTACACACATAACAGAAAAAGCATGACGGCAGCGGAATATAAAATCATATATTAGGTAAACTTGATTTTATTAATAAATATCAGAATAACTTTAGGACAAAAAGTAAATTATATATCTCTGTTCATCTGTACAGAAATTCGCCGATTAACTAATTGAGTCAAATGCAAAATAACTTTAAAGAAAATTTATTTTGGGTCTTTAGTAGATTTTTAAAATCGATCAGAGGTCGATTTCGGGTTAAGAGAAATATTTTATGTCGTTGTTATTCTGGATGAGGCGCGCGAGTGAGTGTGTGTGTGTGTAAGGGGGAGGGGGGGGGGGTGTAAGTAAAAAGTGTACAATAACGTTCTTGACTTAACATTTATTAGTAACAGAATTTTATTTGAAAACTGCATGTGAAAATAAAGCATTACTCAACAAAAAAAAATTATCGAAGAAAAACGACACTTATCAAAAACATACTTCTAATTAATCGTTTAGAAAGAGGAAAAGGAACGCCGGTTTACTAAATATACGGCCGTGGTGACCTTCATTAGTTAACTTTTGATCCTTTGATATTTACCATACATGGTTTAAACAATAGAGAAGCTGTATTACTATGGAATTTTTAAGTTTAATTATATATATATATATATATATATATATATATATATATATATATATATATATATATATATATATATATATATATACCTTTAGCATTTGAAATAATTATGATATTCTTTATGATAATATATATCAAAATTAAGTATAACTTTTTTTCAAAGCTCAACAAATACTTTAAAAAAATATTTTTTTGAATGGGTGGGGATGCTTTGACACACATTCAATTACAAATTAATAAAAATTAATGAAATTAAACTTTATTCATAACTTTTTATTTCTAATTTAAAATCATCTCAAAATCCCAACACAGGTAAAGTTTGACTTCTTGGGTATTCTACTGTGTATTAAAGCACTTCCTGTGTATAGGGATTGGGAGACAAACGACACAAGTAGACTGCTAGCCCTCAAGGCATTCACACCTGTACAAAATAAGCCCCTCCCTCACCTGGAATTTACCACCCGGTAAAAAAATCTCTGCCTTTAAATCATTTGTTCCTTACCTGAGGTGTGTTCAGCAGAGAGAGCGCTCGCTCTGCTGAACACACCTCTAGTTTCTGAATAGGTCAAACAAAACGTCTTCAAAATCACAAGTCCTTTCAATTGATATCAAGAAAAAGGGGCTGACCTCTCAAACTAGGGGCTCAGAGGGGCCAAAAGTTTGTCATCTATAGCTCTTTGATAATGTAGCATATATAAATCAAAAGAATGAAATCTAATTCGGGAAGTCTATATCTTACTATATTTAAACAAAGATCATAGTCAAAATCATATCTCATTTTATCGAAAAATCGGACAGAAGACCTACTCGTTGCTCGCAACAAGATCTCATCTAGTTATTATTAAATTATTGTTATTGATTACAAGATAGACATTCTGAAATAACTTGTCTATCATTTACATTGTGTATGAGAATAGCTTAGGTGGACTAAAATGAACTTTAAACAATAATTTTGATCCAATGTTTTCTCAAACGTCTGTTTGAATTTCTTTGTGATATTTTCCTTATTAAGCATTTCTTTAAAGTGCGTTTTTTCCTGGTTTATAACTATTACAAGCATATATATGAATATGTTTACTTGCATTCAATAATACAAGGATGGAGAATAGGACGGAAGACCTCTCGTTGCTCGCAACAAGTTTCTAGTGTTATTTACCATTCATTAAAAATATCAACATATGTTACAAACAAATTTATAATAATTAAAGGATATTTTCAACCCAATGAAAGCGCAAATCGTCTGCATTCTTTGCAATCGAAACACGAGTAAACAAACAAGTAACAGCGTATTCGCGACATATGGTGACTTAATTCGTTTCTCTATAGAGGAAACGATCAGCCGTACTTTAGAGCTGTTAGTAGAATAGAAATAAAGTCAGCGTGTTCGTGAATGTTGCAGGATAACCTCCGAGGTCGAGAAATTTAGGGAATAACTATCTTCTAATTTGGTATTTGCGACCGAAACTGCCTCAAACATCATTGCATTAGCTAATCAAAAATCCTTTTACAAAATAATTGCATTAAGAATGGTGTTTGAAATGTTGTTTCAAATTTGTTGTTTCAAATGTGTATCGTTTCATTGGACTTTCGAGATTGAATACTGTTCGTAATCTTCATATTTCATTCTGTTTCACGAAAACGCGGACTTTTTTCTTAAAAAAAAAAAATAGAAAATATTTTATTTTGCATTTCTGCATGATTTCTATACAAAATAATAATATTTATTATTTCCAATAAAAATAAAATTGTTTGTGCACCTATAAACACATGATAAAAAACTATTTATTTCGGAACTTATAATTTGTAATCAGGTCAATCAGGGCATTATACTATCAAGACATTATACCCTTCCGCTGCCATCAGCGATTTTATGTACGATCTATCCACAGTTTAACGACCCCAAATCAAAAGAAAGAACGTGCTGACGGTGCCAAGAAGACTGTCAGAGAGTGACGCTGGTATATGGTAATGCTGATTTTTACAAATAACTACAGTCTTCGAATCACGCCCACTCCCGAATCACTATGTCTAATTAATATGTTGACGGTGCGACCGTTAGGGCGAGCGCAGATACCTACACGTATATTCAGTTTTAATTTAGATCGGGCTCTCCAAACCGCATGCACGTGACATTGAGTACGTCTAGACTCTGACGTCACATGACGTCGCTTGTAAGTTGCGTTACCAAAACCAGAGCCAAAACGAAGTCTGAACAGTGCTAATTTTAATAAAGAAGGTTTCATCTACTATTTATCTGCAATATCCATCAAATCAAGATGAGTTTTATTTTTCTTGAAACTTCTTGTTAACGCGAGAACGTTGTTTGCGGCGAGATGCAATTCGCAAAGCATTATGGGACCACAGGTAACTGTGGAAAAAAAATCATTTGGATCATTGTGCAAAGTCCGAATTTTCTCTTCGCCCGGGCGTTGCTTTAAGAGCTCGCAGTGATGAGTGGCGCTTTGCGCTGCTCGCTGCGCTCGCTATTATTATTGATAAAACTCTTCCACTATTTTAGTGATTTTAGCATACAAAGGTAATATGTTGACGGTGTGACCGTTAGGGCGAGAGCAGATACCTATTTAGTTTTAATATTTAGATCGGGCTCTTCAAACCTCACGTGACATTTGGTCTAGACTCTGACGTCAAATGACGTTGTATGTAAGTTGCATTAGCAAAAAGTCTGAACAGTGTTAATTTTGATAAAGAACATTTAATCAATGATTTATCTGCTATAATATATTCATTAAATCAAGGTGAGTTAATTTTTTTCTTGGGACTTCAAGGTACCACGAGAATGTAGTTTGCGCAAGATGCAATTTGCAAAGCATTATGGGACCACAGGTTACTGCAGAAAAAAAATCATTTGGATCAATGTGCAAAGTCCAAATTTTCTCTTCACCCAGGCGTTGCTTTAAGAGCTCGCAGTGATGAGTGGCACTGTGTGCCACTCGCTGCGCTCACTATAACAAGTGTTAGCTTTCCTAAAAAGCTTGTCTGACTTGAGCAAATTTATTTTTACGTGAAGAATCAAGAAAAGGGGGGGGGGAGACCGTGCCCCCCAATAAGGGGCGCGCTTGATTTGTCTACACCATAGTACACCCGGTGTAGATAATTTACACCTTATAATCAAGTGAAATTTGGTGTAGTGTAGCAAATTCAATATGGACTTTAAAATTTCATCCAGCTGAAGGGATGCGTTTTGCAGAAGATTTTTAAAAATATTCTTTGTGATTGTGAACAATTTCAATTTTAAAAAACAAAACATTTAATGAAAAGGGAAAATTTTTGTATAAAACATATTACCTATATCCACCCCTAAGTTACCTCTGTAACTAAATTTCTAGCCATACTCTAAAATATAGGGTGACTTTCACAAAAACTTGTCAAAGTTCCTTATTTTTTTTATTTTACAAAATCCAAAGCTTTTCATTTTACCATAAAATGCACAGAACACAAGCCTAAATTACTAAACACAATTCACAGCAATCAACTTATCAAATACTTAACAGTAAACTCAAATAAAGAAAAAAAATCTGCAGTTTTACTGTCTCGACATTTTTCAGCCATATTGAATTTTCGGTGCAATTACCTACACCTGCCCTGTACAGGGTGTAGATGGTGTACACCTAAAGTGTACACTTTTGCACTTGATTAAGGAAAAGTGTACACCGGGTGTAGGGCGTAGACGAATCAAGCATGCCCAATTTTGCCCATTTATACATAACCTTTTTATGCTTGTGTTCCCTAATTCATGTAAATATTAACTTCTGATAACTTTTTTTATGGTCTATAGCGCTATGACAAAAGTATTCGCGATTTTTCAACATGGCGGCCGTAAACAAGGACGCGCTTCGAGGAACAAACTTTTAAAATATATAATTAAATTTTATTTTAACTTACCTAAAATTTGGTGAGGTGTCCCTTGGATTCAATGACAGCTTATAAATGGTGTGGTATCGAATCATACAGAGTTCTTATGTAGTTCTGATCAAATGAAGTCCATATGTCCGAAATGACGGCGAAGAGCTCTTCGGGGGTCGTAATGTTTTGTTGCTGATTTTGTAGAGTTCGTTTGATTTGAAGCCACAAGTTTTCAATAATATATATGTCTGGGGACTGTGCCGGCCACACAATAGTTGGAATGTTATTTTCCAGTTTGTAGTCCCTCGTAATATGGACTCTATGTACTTGGGCATTATCATCTTGAAAACGGTACGGTTTATTGCTAAAATGCTGAGCAATTACAGGCCATAAATGGTTTTCGAAAATTGCAATATATTTTTCTGCATTTATTTTACTGTTGACAAGGCAAAGGGTTCCAACTCCATAATATGTAATACAACTCCACACCACATGCATTGTGGAAGGTACGCTTCTTTTGATGTTCTCCAAATGTAAACTCTGTGATTTTCACCGAGAACGATCTGAATTTCATCGGAGAAGATAACTGAGTTCCAATATTTATTCACAGTAAGTTTTCTCTTCTCGAGACACCATGTCAAACACTCTTTTCTGTTGACCTGTGACACAACCATCTTTTTTCTCACCACTCGTCTCTTCACATCATGTTCATGTAAAAATCTTTGCACTGTCAGTGGATGTACATGATCATTTGCATCCCTACTTCTGTTAAACTCATTCGTAATGTCACTTAAAACACTTCCCCTGTTCATTTTTTTGTGATGAACGAGCCAGTTCCGATCCCGCTGTGACATCTTGTAAGGACGCCCGCTTCTTTTCGCTTTGTTTATCTCCCCCGTATATAAATACTTTTTCCAGATTGATCTGATTGTAGATTCTGATATTCCTAATAAATTTTCAATTGCAGATGTCTTCTTACCTTCTAACTTCATTTCAACAATCAATTTTCGTACATCGTTCGTTAATTCTTTTGATTTTCAGCCCATGATGAATCATATGCTTGTTTATGATTATACATGAATGCAGATGATGGAAATGCATAAACTATGTCACTTACTAGCGAAAGATAACTCTCTGAAAATTTCATTAAATAAATCGGTTTCTTTCAAAAGTTATTTCCCTTTTTACAAACGAGGTGCATATCAATGATGTCACCATTTTGAAAAATTTCGAATACTTTTGTCATAGCGCTGTATAAGGAATTTTTCCTTGATAGCCAGGGCTCGACATGAACTTTTTTCCCTACTTGTCCGTTTGGACAAGTGACCAAGACATTTGATTGTCCAAACTTCAACTTCACTTGTCCGAAAATTGTTCAATAAAGATACAATACTGTCAACTTGAAAACTAAAAGTCCATTACATGTGATTGATTCATGATGTTATTGATAAAAACAACAAACACATAAAAACAAAATTTTATCGAGACTTTCTATCCTGACAACAACATAAAAGTTCACAAATGAAACCGTCAACATCAAACAGAATCTAAACTTCGTAACTTGACATAACTTTCATGCCTTTGCAGTAGTATGCAATTAGTGAACTTCGATCCCAATTACATAGCGATCCATATTGGGATCAAAGTTTGTTTTTTATGTACTGCTTCCGTCTTTACCGTTGAACTTTCAACAGTCATTCTTTTTATTATTTGAAGACTTCTTTACATTAAAATGCACTTGTCCAATCAGACAAGTACCCAGCAATATTCACTTGTCCATAATTTTTTTTCACTGGTACCAGACAAACGGACAAGCATTAATGTCAAGCCCTGATAGTGTCCACCCTCAACTGGAATTTTCTTCCAACGGGCCTGTTTGTGGATACAAAGATATAACCAGTGCTTGTTAAAGAAAAAGCTACAGCACATAAAAATCTAAACATCAATTGGTGAACAATTTTGATAATTAGGAAATGTTTTATTTAAAAATATATATATATATATGTGTTACAAATGAGCTAACATCTTTCCATTTAAGCAAAAGAATATTCAACATCTATCCTTCACTTTGAAATTTTTTTAACTATGACTAAATCAAACGTCTGCAAGTTTTGATAGGTGTAGATTTATAAAATTTCTAAGGGTAGAAAGACTTGGTATGCATTGAAAATAAACATCCATTAGTTAATCAGATAAAGATGATTGACAAGTGTTGACCTCCTTCTATTTTGCTGGACATGAATGATGGCCAAATGTTATGTAATTTGTAGTGTATAATGTGATAATAATGACATCAGCTCCAATTCTCTGGCTTGTTTGGGTGTTTAGCATGTTTCCTTTACTCCTCGATTGCAATCAAAAGTTCTAAATGTTTTGGGGCTGTATACAACAGTTAACAGAGCTGCAGATTAGGTGCGTATTTTCAGAAATATGCATTGAAGTTTACAGAGTACGCATTGAAAATTAAAATTGGGCGTACAGTTACACATTAGCAATCGTAAATAAGCATTACACTTCGGAAGTACTGCGTAAGGCGGATTCCATAATACAAGTACGACTTAACAAATGATATGAAATGAGGTTAGCTCAGTGTTTGATTTTACTGAAAATGAAATATTGATTGAAAAGCGTTATAATGACCAGTAATATTATAATAATGGCGAAGACGATTTCCAGTTCAGGAGAAAGAATTCAAAGATTAAGATTAAAATTGATTTTCTTAAATAGAAAGGCTATTTATTAGTTGTCCCCTGCTTTCACTGAAAGTAGGGGATATTGATTTGGGTCTGTCTGTCTGTCCGTATTTCTGTCTGTGACACTTTCGTTTCTGCGCGATATCTCGAGAACCCTTTGAGCTTTTGCAATGAAATTTCGCATAGCAACTCCCTATAGCCTAAAGAAGAACCTTATGGATTTTGAGGTCAAAAGGTCAAGGTCATAAATTCATAAATTCTGTCTGTTTTAACACTTTCGTTTCCGCGCGATATCTCAAGATGCCTTTGAGCTTTTGCAATGAAATTTTAAATAACAACTCCCTGTGGCCTAAGGAAGACCCCTATTGATATTGAGGTCAAAAGGTCAAAGTTCAAGGTCGTTAATTCATACATTCTGTCTGTGTGTAACACTTTCGTTTCCTGGGCAATATCTCAAGAAGCTTTTGAGCTTTTGCAATGAAATTTTATACCATAACTCCCTATGGCCTCTCTCGCCCCTCTCAAAGTGCCCCGCCCTGTTTTTTTAAAAATTGATTTATTGTATTAAAAGTCCCTTGGCACTATTTTTAGCACATAGGCATGTGGAAAGTTATTATGTGTAATACAGGTTGTCAGTGGACTTTATATTCTAATTACATCTATTAGAACTGTTTAGTAAAGTCTAAATTAGACATTATTGTGTATTGTGTAAACTTTTGACAATATCGAACGTGAATATTGTTTCACTTGGTGGGTAAATGATGCAATGTGAATATAAAATCTCCAGGCACATTGACAAGGACTCACCATAAACCAGTATGTCGTCAGCAATACTCAAGACACCTGGTAGTCCTTCTACTGCCTGATCTTGATGACGTTGATACTCTTCCGGTGCAGTCGAAATACCAAAGGCATTCTTAGCAATCTGAACCGTCCAAATGGGGTGTTGAATGTAGTGAGCATAGAGCTTTCTTTATCTAGTTCAACATGCCAAAATCCATTCCGTGCATCCAAAACACTGAATACTTTTGCACGAGAAAGGTTTGGAAGTATTTCCTCTATCGTAGGAAATGGATAATGGCTCCTCTTAAGTGCTTTGTTCAAGTCCTTTGGATCTATGCAGATTCTGACTTTGTTCGGTTTCATGACCATCAAACAGCTGGAGACCCATTGGGATGGTTCACTAACTGGTGTGATAATGTTCATTTCTTGTAGTCTGTCAAGTTCAGCTTTTAATAATGGCTTCAGTGCGATAGGCACTTTTCTTGGTGGATGAACTACAGGCTGTATGTTTTCATCTAGAACTAAGTGATATTTCCCTGCGAGACGACCTACACCTTCAAAGACATCTGGATACTCTGCGAGTAGCTGCTTCTTACTGAGAGGTGATGGCAACAGCTGTCTCACACTATGAATGTTCTCCTTTCTCCAGTTCAAGAGCTCCATGTGCTGTAGAGATTTATTTCCTAAGAGTAGCATGCAGTCCTCTTTAATTACAACAAATTCAGTGTCATATGAGGTACCATTCCTTGGATTGGTAACTTGTAAACGTGTTTTTCCTAGAGGCCTTATGGTACTTCAAGGTATAATCTGTAGGCTGAAGTGGCAGCATGTTTGGAATCACACTATTAGGTAAAATGTTACATGTGGCCCCACTGTCCAGTTGAAATGTCACTTTCTTTCCATGAATGATCATAGACGCATGTACACTGTTGGAAACGGTGTGTGCAGAATGTGTGTTTTCTTCTTGTATGGTCCAAACAGAATAGTCATCATCACTGTCAGTGTTTGAACAACCTGTCCCAGTGTGATGTACAGTTTTCTTTTTATATTTTGGTTGTGATTTCTTGGAAGCACTTCTGCATACTGTTTCAAAGTGATTCATTTTATGACACAGTCGACACTTTTTCCCATATGCAGGACATTTTTCTTTCTTGGGCTCATGTACTTTGGCACAATATCTACAAGGTTTGTTATCGGTATGTGACTGTTTATTTCCACTTGTCTTTACACTAGGTTTGCCTTTGCTGATTTTGTTGACATTTTCTGTATGGCTGCTTGAGGCATTGTTGCCATCCAATACACTAATTCCTTGTTTCGTGATTTCAGCTGCACGTGTTATGTCGACACACTTATCCAGGGTAAGTTCTGGTGTTCTCAACAAACATTCTCTCAGGTGTGAGTCAAGTATCCCACAAACTATTCTGTCTCTGACTAATGAATCAACTATTTCTCCATAGTTACACTTTGCAGCTAATGTTTTTAGATCAGTGATAAATGTTTCTATAGTCTCACCTGGTTCCTGTTTCCTCATATTGAACCTGAATCTCTCTACTGTTTTGTTTCTTTTGGGTCTACAGTAAGTGTCAAAAGCGTCGAGGACGTCTTTCAATTTTCTGTCCTTCTCTTCTTTATCGAACTTTAGCGTGCTGTAAATCTCTCTGCCATCCGTGCCAATCAAATACTTCAGTAACTGTAACTTAGCTTTGTCTTCTTCATCTTTCATCGATAGAGATACATAAAGTTCAAATTCTTCTCTTCATTTTCTCCAGTCTTCACTAATATTCTTAGTGTTGAACTTTATTTTGCCAGGGTGTGTCAGTCTTTCGAGCGCCATTTCCCGACTGGGCTGCCGTAATCACGATGCAGTGCGCCAAATCGAAGAAATCAAAATATGCACACTAATACTCAAATTATGGCGAGAAAACAGTTCTGCGTAATCCTGTTATCCTCTTCTACAATCCCGCATCTGACACCATGTTTCACTTGGTGGGTAAATGATGCAATGTGCATATAAAATCTCCAGGCACGTTGACAAGAACTACAGCCTTAAACGATAATCAAAAACTACTATTTAATTAGCCAAAACGAATACATACATAATTGTACAAATACGATCCATGTTAACAAAATGAATAAACATAACGTTACAAATATAAACATTATATGTGACCTTATGTTTGCATTTAATTTGCTGTATAATCAAGTGCCCCTGTGGTCTAGGGGTATGACTCTTGCATAGCAAGTGAGAGGTACTGGGTTCAAATCCCGGAAGATCCATTTTTTTTTTTTGATTTACTAAATGATAGTATTCAACCATGTGAAATGAAAAAGTTGAGACGTCTGGCATGTACAAACTCATAAAATCATTATTACAGTGTGATAAATATTCTATATAAAAGAATCTTCTATACACATATTAAACCGTTCATGGTAGCTCAGTCAGTAGAGCGCTCGCTTCGTGATCGGGAGGTCTTGAGTTCAATTCTCGGCCGCGACTGACCTAAGTCGATAATAAATGGGTAGCAACTGTTCCTTCGCCATGCGCTCGGCACTCTGAAGTGAAAGTTGCGGGTCCTTCGGACGAGACCTTAAAAACCGAGGCCCCGTGTCACAGCAGGCGTTGGCACGATAAAGATCCCTCACTGCTCAATGGCCCTGAGTGCCGAGTAAAGGTCAAAATTTGAAGCCCTTCACTGGTATATGGTGATGTCTCTATATGAGTGAAAAATTCTCAAATGGGACGTAAAACAACATACAATCAATCAATCATATACACATATTAAAGAATAAGCAATCATATCTTTATATCTATATTGGCATTTTTTATTTCCTTCAATATACATGTATACATTTAATAATTTTACAAATCCAGGGGAGGGGGAGTCTGACCCCCCCCCCCCCCCAACTGTGCATGCTCTTCTTTTTTCCCTAAGCAGGGGACACAAATTCTCTGAATTAGCTTGTTATAGTTAATTTTCAGCACACAAAAGCTTGTGTCATCTATGTAAGATGATTTTATAACAAGTGTAATACATAAGTAATAGAAAACAATGTTACCTAGAAAACAATGGATTGTTGGAGAGAAAAAAAGTTTAAACTGCAATGTTTTGAAGAGTACATGTTGTGTAAAAAAAAGCAGTGAAGACCATATTAAAACCATGTCGAAAAAAACCAGCTCTGTTTAAGGACCCTCTATACATTTATATTTAATGAAAAATGTTTTTCGGTCTTTGAGAAAATTGTATTGTATAAAATATCTGCAATAATGTAGCCCTCTCCCTTTTTGTCCCCCGCTTTCACTGAAAGTGGGGGATATTAATTTGGGTCTGTCTGTCCATCCGTCCGTCTCTATTTCTGTCTGTCTGAAACACTTTCGTTTCTGCGCGATATCTAAGAACCCTTTGAGCTTTTGCAATGAAATTTTGCGTAGCAAATCCCTATGGCCTAAAGAATAACCTTATTGATTTTGAGGTCAAAAGGTCAAAGGTCAAGGTCATAAATTCATAAATTCTGTCTGTTTTAACACTTTCGTTTCCGCGCTATATCTCAAGAATCCTTTGAGCTTTTGCAATGAAATGTTACATTACAACTCCCTGTGGCCTAAGGAAGACCCCTATTGATTTTTAGGACAAAAGGTCTAAGTTCAAGGTTTTAAGTTCATACATTCCGTCTATGTGTAACATTTTCGTTTCAGGGCGATATCTCAAGAAGCTTTTGAGCTTTTGCAATGAAATTTTATACCATAACTCCCCTTTGGCCTCTCTCACCCCTTTCAAAGTGTCCTGCCCCGTTTTTTTTTTTTTAATTTATTTATTGTATTAAAAGTCACTTGGCACTATTTTTAGCACATGGGCATGTGGAGAGTTATTACGTATAATACAGGTTGTTGGTGGACTTCATATTCTAATTACACCTATTAGAACTGTTTAGTAAAGGCTTAATTAGACACCATGTATTGTGTAAAATTTTGACAACATTGAACGTGAATATAAACATATGTGACCTAATGTTTGCATTAAATTTGCTGTATAATAAAGTGCCTCCGTGGTCTAGGGGTATGATTCTTGCTTAGCAAGTGAGATGTCCCGGGTTCAAATCCTGGACGATCCTTTTTTTGTTTGTTTTGTTTTTAGGTCACCTGAGTCACTCAGGTGACCTATTGCTATCTGTTTTCATCTGTCGTCCGTTGTGAGTTAACTTTTGAACATTTTTAACTTCTTCTCCAAAACCGCTAAAACAATATCAACCAATTTTGGCATATAGCATCTATGGGTGAAGGGGAACAAAAATTGTGAATTTCATGGTCCCTGCCCCCCTGGGGCCTGAGGGTGGGGCTAAAACCACCAAAATTGATGCAATCTTTAAAAATCTTCTTCTTTACTCATGAAAACCAAGCAGTCAAACTGTTGGTATGATTGTAATAAGCATTGAGCCCTCTACCAAAATTGTGAAATTCATGGCTCCAGGGTCAGGGGTTCTGGTGCTAGGGCGGGGCTATATAGATCATATTCCAGGGTATTATTTATTATAAACAAACTAAGTGCATAGTTATGATGCACAAAGATGCCTTTTCTAAAATTGTGAATTTCAAGGCCCCTGGGTCAGGGAATTTGGTGTTAGGGTGGGGCTCTATTGATTATATATATATCGAAAATGCATTAATTCTTTGAAAATCTTCTTCTCTGCTCCTGGGTATTATTTAAACAAACTAAGTGCATGGTTATGATGCACAAGGATGCCTTTTACAAAATTGTGAAATTGATGGCCCCTGGGTCAGGGGTTCTGGTGTTAGGGCGGGGCTCTATTGATTATATAGTGAAAATGCATTAATTCTTTGAAAATCTTCTTCTCTGCCTCTGGGTATTATTTAAACAAACTTAGTGCATGATTATGATAAGCAATAATGCTTATTCAAAAAAAAAAAGGTGAAATTCATGGCCCCAGGCAGTGATTCATTTTGATGTGCGTCCTGCGTAAATTACGCACAAATTTTGCTCAGGACTCATTATTTCAATAAATGTGCATCCCAATGGACGCATTTGATTTATAAAATGAAAGGTATTATTTTAAATTATTTCGGTATAATCTGCTCCAAAACTTGGCTGATTGCATCATATCCACGTGCATGAGCGATTTTAACAGGTATAAGGTTGCCAATAACAGGTCAGATTTCACACTTCACTGTTAAATTGCAGTTACGATGAAACAATTATCAGAAAAAGAAAGTTCAAGTTTGTCTGCTGTGGAACATTTCTGAAGTGTATACTATACATTAATTTTGTATTTTAGCTTGTTACCTGAATCATTTTAATTTTTTCCTTACAAGCTAATATAAGTATTTGATCATCTTCTTTCTGGCTATTTTTCTTTTTTTTTAAGAAAACTTTCTTTACTTCATTCAATAGAACAACTGCTTCTGTGCATTTTGTGACAGATACAAATTATGCGTGAAATCGTATGTTCGATCTAAAAATAGAACCAAGGTGCACAGTTGACAATATATTATTTACATGCCACATAGTCATTTATTATTACTTCCAATTGATAGTAATTGTAGTATAAACCACTCGCAGCTTCAATAAAACAACTCCACTTTTGGACAAAACCGTTTTCTATTTCACCAGAATTTCCTCTGTAATATCTAATATACGGTACCATTGAGCATGTTGAGTACCCTTGGATTTGGACGCATTGGTTTTGGCATGGGACTCATTGTTGTCAGTCAGAGGGGTCCTTTGGACCCATGATAACCATTTTCAAAATGAATCACTGCCCAGGTTTTTTTTTTGGGGGGGGGGGGGTTAGTGTTAGATCACTTGGATAGGACTGTGTTGAATCTGTAGTGAAAACACATTATATTCCTTTGAAAATCTCTGCTCCTTGGCAAATCGAAGGCAAACAGAATAAAAGTTATAATAAGCAAGGATATTTTAACCAGATTTTTGAACATCAGGACCAGTGCTCTATTAATTTGTATTCTACTGAGAGAAGTTATTCACCTATGCCATTCACTTTTGAAAATTAATCACTGTAAATAATGTATTTGAAAGTCAGTAGAATAAGAGAATTATGTAAAAAATGATATTATATACAGTGGATCCCGTTTTATTGGATATTCAACTTGTCAGCCTAGTTTTATTAGAATAGCCGAATGCACCATTTGTAGTGCAAACGCTAGATATATATAGCAATAAAACACGCTTGTTTTTCTTACTTGCACTTTTGTTTTCGTTTGATAAATGTACTAAGTCAGTAGAATGAATTATTTCACTTATTTATGAGTTCAATATGATTTCGTATGAATAATAATTTATTTAATTGAATTATAAAACTTATTGCCATTTATTCAGCACCTGGCACCTGTTTACATTCATCCCATTCGTTGATGGTCTCCAAGTTGGAAAAGAAGTTGATTGAATGCATGACTATATTTCGTAAACTTTTTTTCCCCTGATTGCTGATAAATGAATAAAAAAAATATTTAAAGCGTTTCATCTTTATTTGCATGTTTAATATTATCAAGCATATAAGAAAGCATTAACATATTATCAAGCACATAAGAAAGCACTACAAGAGCACAAAAAGGTAAAATACATACAAGAAAAAAAATCTGATAAACATGATAAACGTCAAACGATGAATTAAATGTCAAACATTTTGAGCACAGCGTAGTCACTATTTAGTCACTGTTTCATTTAGTCCCTAGGGTATCCGGTCTTTGAACTCTGTGATCTTTGTTTGTTTCTTCAGTTTTTCACCCAAATGCTCACATAGTTCTTCCAGTGCGTAAAAAGCACTTAAGTCCTCACACCCATTTTCCTCTAAGAAATGTCGAACATTGGAGAGGGACTCCTGAATTGCTGAACTCGCTGGTAGAGTAAAGCTTGTTTCTTCATCGCTTACTTCTTCTTCCGGCTTTCTTGTTGTCTCTTCCTCTAAGAATGGAGCGCAGATCTTGACGTCTGTTATTTCTCTGTGGCAATCAGTATCGTAGTCGTGATTAACAAAGTCGAAGAACTCTTCTCTCTCCATACACTCGGGAATAGTTTGTTCTTCTTCTGGCATTTCTTCTATGCATTCGGTCTGGAAACCTGCCTTCCGGTAACAATTCACCACTGTAGTTTCTTTGACTCCCCGCCATGCTTTACTCAAAAGATGCACTGCGTCAAGTAGTGTAAGTCTTTTAGCAAGGTCCGTCGCTGTCGAGATGCTGTGGCTGTCAATTTCGCTCACCATTTTCCTTATCACTTGAGATCTGTACAGGGCTTTAAAATTTTAAATGATACCTTGATCGCATGGTTGGATTATGGATGTTGTGTTTGCAGGCTGGAACTCGAGTCTGATGTTGGTAAGTCGGTCAGCAGTGTCTATAGGGTGAGTTGAGCAGTTGTCCACAAGAAGGAGAATTTTTCTGTTCTGTCGCACCATATCTCTGTTGAAATCTGCGAGCCACTGTTTGAACAAATCACCAGTCATCCAGGCATTTCCGGAGCTCTTGTAGATCACAGGTATACTTTTCTTCCCACAGAAACATCTTGGGTCTTTACTTTTCCCGATTACCAGCAGTTGACGCTTGTCTGTTCCGGTCATGTTCACTGTCGGTAGCACTGTCACTCTGTCCTTTGCCTTTTTTGAACCAGCCAAATTATCTTTCTTGAACGTCAATGTTTCATCAGGAAGAGCTCTGTAGTAAAATCCTGTTTCGTCGGTGTTATAGATGTTTTTCGGCTCGTAATCTTTCATAAGCTGTGGTAGAACATTTGTGATCCAGTGGTGGGCTGCCTCTGTGTTAGCTCGTCTTTCTTCTCTCCATGCATTTTCTTATAACTTATGTTGTTTCTTTGCTTCCAGCGGGACAACCAGCCATTTGTTGCTGTGAATTCGATGTTCATTCGTGCTGCCAAGTCTTCTGCCTCTTCTGTTAGCACTGCGCTGGAGACGGGGAGATCTTTGCTGCGGGCCTTTGGAAACCACTCTGTAAGGGCCCCCTCGACTGTTGGTGCCTTCCCAGATCTGTGCCTTTTTCTTTCTGGATTAGCGCTAGTTTGGTAATCTTTTCGTATTGTGTCTCTATTTTTTGAGATAGCGCTAATCTGAGGTTGTGAACAACCTAACTTCTTGGCAATTTCTGTTTGGGGGACTTTTTGGTCAAGGAGTTTAACCGCTTCATACTTGTCTGCCAAGGAGAGATCTGTCCTTTTCCTCTTCAGAGCCATGTTGAGAATGATGAATAAAAATTTTGAGACATATATATTTATATGGGGTGCTTGTGATTTTAACCCTGAAATTTGCACTTAAAAGTGAACACATATTCAGATAAATGACCAAGCGAAATGATTTAATAGATAGTCTAATTATGATGCATTTTAATGTCCAAGCAAAGTGTCATACACATGCTGAACAGTTCAATAATCAAAATTTCACGCCGAACTAAATTGCACACAAGCCAATTATCAAATTTAGCAAGTGCAGCACTGAATCCCAAGCTGATCATCACAATTGTAATCAAAACATTGATCTACCATGCCCATTGTTAACACAGGTAAGATTCCTGTGTGCGTTCAGCTGTAACTAATCCCCTATTGTTGTACTCCTGGTTAAAGGTGTCAGACTGAATAAACAAAGGGTTTACACACCGAAGTTAGAGGCGTGAACAAGTCAATGATTATGAAAATCATTATGATTGGCAAAATTTTTGTATCAGATAAAACGAAATTCAAATTCCAATATTTTCTCATCAGAATATCAGGTGAAATTATTAATAAATATATAAGAAATGGTTTTGTGCTCTGATATTATATTGAAATAGCCGAAATATTCGTTTAACCGCTATCCGATAAAATGGAATCCACTGTAATAAATAAATCAAAATGAGACAAAATAACTTATCTCATTAAATGTTCTTCAAAGACCAAGAGAGACCAATGTGAGATGTCACAATATTGGATTAAAAGTGGTACAGAAGAACTAATAGTTTGTTAATTGTCTGCATTGCAATGATTTATAGTGATAAATGGGGATAGATTAGAATTTGATTTATGAGTTGTTACTGAATACTAGACTAATTATTTTATTGATCCTAATCATCCTATTTCTCTTGCTTTTGGGCAACAAAGTTTCATCTGTCTTTTTATTTTATACTTTATAGATCCTCTAAATTGTTGTATTTATACTCAAGTGACTGTTTAGGCCCTTGGGCCTCTTTTATTTTGAAATTTTTTTTTGGGGGGGGGGATTTGCTAAATGATAGTATTCAACACGTGAAATGAAAAAGTCATGACATCTGGCGTGTACAAACTCATAAAATCATTATTACAGCGTGATAAATATTCTATATAAAAAGAATTCTCTGTACACAATTAAAGAATAAGCAATCAAATCTTTATATCCAGATTGGCATTTTTTATTTGCTTCGATATACATGTATACATTTAATAATTTTACAAATCCGGGGGGGGGGGGGGGGGGGGGGGGAGTCCACAGAAGTAAGGTGAATGTAAAAACAATTTATTTTGCCTGCAGTTGCCCATATTTAAAAAAATATATGCACCAATACGGAGATGCGGTGGAATTGTAGCCCTCTCCAGAAAATATCAGATTGAAAAAAATCAGAGAGGGCTACATTATTGCAGCTATGCATAAAAGTGAAGATACAGAGTTGATCTTATTCATTTTCAACATTGAGTGCCAGCTATTCTGTCTCAGGAAAAATGTTTTCAGAATACAGCTTACCTTCAAAATCTTGAACGCGGATATCTCTAATACCCTGGATATGTCGAAGTAAGGCCGTGATCCCGACGAAATTTGCTTTATAAATGACCTTGAACTTTTCTGGGACCTTGACCTTACTTTTATTAAATTTGCATAACATGTTTTATGAATTTTCCAATTAATTATCATTAATCCATATTATTGAACCATAAGGCAATGGTGAACAAAATAAGATAATGAATAGACAACTAAAATTGTATTATTTTAAAAATTGAAAGTAGTTAATGTTCATACAGAAAGTAAATTGAAAAAAGATACAGTAAATAAGAAAACTAGTCACTAGTAATAACGAAAATACAGCTGTAAAAAGGAAATATTTATGACATCTTTAACTGAAAAACAAGTTGGTAAAACTTTCTTTTATTTATATAAAATAAGGTGATCATAATATAGAAATAAACGACTTTATTAAGTAGCCAATCATATACTAAAGTGTACAGTCTTCCCCACTTAATTTAAATACTGTTCAGCAAAGCATACCATTCACAAAATGAAGTGTTCCATGCAAGAAGCATACTGTACTATGCACGAAGCGAACTGTACCGTTTACAAAACAAACCGATCTGTGCAAGAAGCGTATCGTACCATTTACAAAACGAGCCGTACAAAATGAAACGAACTGTACCGAGGGAGATAACTCTTACCAAAATTCAAGGTCATAAATTAGGACACATCCCATCCTTACATGCCAATAGTTATAAATGGAATTATGTCTAAATATTCTGAGTATTCAACACATACACATCTGTTATGTATTCAATTTCATTAAATCTGTTGCTATTGAATACCTAACATCTTTATTGCTGATTCAACGTCCAACTTCTTCAGCTAACTTCTGAATGCCTGACTTTCCTAAAACTTTTGGTTTGGTTAGTCTATTCCAAGGGTTGTCAGGTCATTCCACTATTTGAAGGCTTCAATGCGTTTTACTCAAATGCCCCTTAACTATTACACCTAAATATACCTAGTATGTAAAACTTTGACCCACTGTTTTGGCCCCAACCTACCAAAAGGCAGACCTGGGGTCAATTACTTTGAAATGTAATGCATTAAATTACAATTACTTTTGAATTTTTACCATTACAATTATATACCATTACCACTACTCTCCTTCAGAAAAGTAATTAATTAAATTACAATTACTTTGTTAAAGTAATGAATTACATTACATGTACATTTTATGAGAAAAACACAAATTTTACGACCACACAATTGATCTATAAATTAACTTTCTCACACTTTGTGCTCGGTCAATATGCTTTCCCTCGAGGTCTATAAGTCATTTTGAATTCATTTATCATGTTGATGTAGTTTACAAATCTACAGTTAACAAAGAAAGTGGATAGGAACACTTTCAATGTTGAAGTTTTTGTTCAGTCTCTAATTTTAGTTCCTCTGTTGTTGGTGTTTTTAAAACTAGAAATATGTCCATAGGACATGAATGCCCCACCAAGGGTATATTAGTAATGCATTGCCAACATGAAAATTTGTATTAGTGTATGAAATTTGATGAGAATATCTTGAATAGTTTCTTAAAAATTGAAATCTAAAAAATTGAATATAGATGATAAATTTTCAGCAAATTATGTATAAGTGCATAAGCTTACATAAATATATCTTAAATGGTTTCTTTAAAACTAAGCAAAATGCAAATTTCTTAGTTGACTTTCAACAGCTTGAATATCTCTGACATTTTGTCAATAAATACTTGTTAACTGTGTTGCAATAGGTATTGCAATATTTTCAACGAAAATTTAAATGATTTTTTTTCTTATTATTTTAACTTCATATTACATGAAGAATGTACATAACTATGAGAAATAACTAATAAAAAGATATCTAGTTGATTGAATTACAGTTATGCAACAGAATACACCCATAAAGCAGCTTTTGTCTTACTGTTTTGCATGATCACAAACATTTCTGACAAGTTTTCTTTATAAAATATAGAGATAGCGAACAGCATTCAAGTTCGAAGTCCATTAAAACAATACAAATTGGGAGAAGAGCAAACATGAACCTCCAAAAACATCAGAGGTGGGATCAGGTGCCATGGAGGAGTGAGCATCCCCTGCCAGCCGGTCATACCCGCCGTTTGCTCCTTGTCATGATTGAGAAATAACGGAAAAATCCGTCAACAATTCAGTGTGCAAATAATACAATTAACATGAAAAACGTCGGTCTGCATATGACTTATTGATAGATTGTATTTGCTGACAAGGTCATTGTATTGACCATAGAACTTACAAATTGATGACTTTAAACAAGACTGTTGATATTCTTGTTTCATCAACTTGTTTGTCAGAAACTTACCTCATTTCAGAAATTGTTTATACTTAGAGCATGCTCTTGCGTATTGAATCAGCTGAGAGATTTACACCCCATATGCAGATGATAAGGGTATATTGCTGCATAAGTATAAGGAAAGTTGGTGATTGAAAAGCTAAAGTCATCACGTTTATCATAAAGTTTTGTTGTTAGATTACCATTAACAACATCTTTTTCTAGTAAAATATCCAAATATGAAATATATGTGTCAGACTCTGTGGTATCTTTTATTTCAAGCTCACTGGGATATATCACATCGACATATGAATGGAAATAACTATTGTTAATTGACAATACATCGTCGATATATCTAAATGTTGAGTTGAAGGCCACAGCAAGAGATTTCTTTTTCTCATGTATAAGATTTTGAATACTGCTTCATATGAATTCAGAAATAGGTCTGCTAATAAAGGGGTGCAATTGGTACTCATGGGAATTCCAACAGATTGTTGGAAGACCTGGTCTTCAAAAACCACAAAGATGTTGTATTTTATTATGGAATTTCTGAGTCCAAGCATTTTGCCGGTATATCTTTATTACAAAAACAGATATTTTTATGCCCCCACCATAAAATGGCCAGGGCATATAGTGTTACCCTGTTCTGTCATCATTCATTTTCTGTTCATTATCTCTGCAACAGTTGC